ATGTTGTTTAACAAATTATACTACTCAGGCCTGATGTATTTTAAATTACTACCTATGTATTCATATAGCAGGAGAAAGTATACATTTTAGGTGGTTTTTAAATTAAGTTTATAGTACAGTTAATTTTTCTAAGATTATTTCAGTCCAAGATCATTCTGCAATATTATTCTACTGTTGCTCATATATGATTCACATGACAAAACAAACACAAAAAAAAGAGAGAAAATATTTGGCTGGGGAGGACGAGAGAACATCGCACCCATCCTTAATTGCTGATATACCTATGAGAACATTCTTCAATATAAACCGCCAGAGTCCATTTAAAGATCTAACTCGATAGAGGTCTAAAATTGAATAGTAGATAAATAATTTAGTGGTCTTCTTATATTGATATCGGAAGTTATAATATTCACACCAAATATTATTATAGTGTATAGTTATTTTTTTCATTATACTTTGGTAATTAGTTTGGGATATAATTTCGGAAGAGCTAAGGCTTTCCTCGCTCTTCCAATACCTGGTTATACAGACCTTCGTTACCATTAAACCATGAACTGCCAAACAAATTTCTAGTTTAGATAGACATGTGAGATCAATATGGAATAGAAACTTTTCAGGAGTTAAATACATAATTTTTCAATTCAAATCTTTAAAGGGTTGCAACAAAAATTTTTTTTTTTATCCCAATCAGTGAGGAACAATCCCACCATACATGCTTTATAGTTCCAAGATCTTTATTACATCTCCAACACTGGTTAGAATAATTTAAATTAAAGATAAACCACATTGTTCTAATACAGTTGTCATTATCCTGCGGGCTAGTCTTGCTTTTTTGCTCCCCATAAAAAGGCTTGAAATAATTTAGCAAAAAGATTCAAAACTCTCTTCGGCACTCTTAGAGGTAACATCTGAAAAAGGTATTCCAGTTTGGCTACTATATATGCTCTCAGCATATTCAATCTACCCCTCCAAGATAATGTTATATTCCCTCTGGATTTAATTTGATTTTGAAGGATTTTAGTATAGTACTTATTTACCCATGTATTTATATCAAAGTTAATCATAGTTTCAAGATATTGAATAAATCGAGAAGACCAATTGAATCTATATTTTTGTTTAAGAAAATTATCTTGGGTTAATGAAAGATTACAATGTACAGTGCCTTGCAAAAGTATTCACCCCCCTTGGCATTTTTTGTGTTGTGTTGCCTCACAACCTGGAATTAACATGGATTGTTTGAGGATTTGCATCATTTAATTTACAGAAAATGCCCCCAAAATTTATTATTTTTTTGTGAAGCAAACAACTAATAGGATAAAATAACAGAAAAAGTCAATGTGCATAACTATTCACCCCTCTAAAGTCAATACTTTGTAGAGCCACCTTTCACAGGTCCAAGTCGCTTTGGGTAAGTCTCTATGAGCTTGCCGCATCTTACCACTGGGATTTGTGCTCATTCATCCTTGCAAAACTGCTCCAGCTCCTTCAAGTTGGATGGTTTGCACTTGTGAACAGCAATCTTTAAGTCTGACCACAGATTTTCTATTGGATTGAGGTTTGGGCTTTGACTAGGCCATTCCAACACATTTACATGTTTCCCCTAAAACCATTCAAGTGTTGCTTTAGCAGTGTGTTTGGGGTCATTGTCCTGCTGGAAGGTGAACCTCCGTCCTAGCCTCAAATCACGCACAGAGTGGTACAGGTTTTGCTCAAGAAGATCCCTGTATTTAGCACCATCCATCTTTCCCTCTGTAATGCACCGTTTTGCACACAAGAGGTTAAAAAACGTTTAGGCGATATTCCCCTTTACAGATGCACGGACAGCTACTGCAAGCACCAATCTCCCGAACTGCAAACTACACGAATCCTCCAACTCCCGAACCGGAAACACACGAATACTGGAAACAGCCGAACAGGAAAAGCATACAATCAGCTTACACTCCTGGCAATCAGCATACAATCCAATTCCCCCCAAGAACAAGACGACACTTTTTGAGGGTCAAGCTGAATCTGGTTTACTGGGGCTACCTGCCGGGCTTTTATGCAGGTCTCCCACCTGGTGGACACCCCCCTTATGGTTATGATAGATTTGATGGTGCTCCTGGGGATCATCAAAGATTTGGATATTTTTTTATAACCTAACCCTGACCTTGGTCTTCATGGCAGCGTTTGGTTAGTGGTGCCTCTTGCTTAGGTGTTGCAGCCTCTGGAGCCTTTCAAAAAATGTGTGTATATGTAATGACAGATCATGTGACACTCAGTTGCACACAGGTGGACATCATTTCACTAATTATGTGACTTCTAAAGGTAATTGGTTGCACCAGAGCTTTTTATGGACTTCATAACAAAGGGGGTGAATACATACGCACATGCCAATTTTCTGTTTTCTATTTCTAAAAAATAGTTTGATGTATATATTTTTCTCATTTCACTTCACCAACTTAGACTATTGTGTTCTGATCCATCACATACAATTCAGATTAATAAAACATTGAACTTAAGGCTGTAATGTAACAAAATAGGTAAAAAGTCAAGGGGGGTGAATACTTTTGCAAGGCACTGTATAATCTGAGTTTTTTTGTAAATTGATTTTGTAATTAGAAAGATGATTAAAGTCCTTAATACAATCCATTGCTTTAGAAATGGAAGTCTCTGGTTGAGTAAGAGTTAAAATTTTGTTGTCTGTGAATAGTTATTTTTAGTTCACTGCCCCCCTTTACAATTCCTGAACTATTAACTGATC